TTAAATATTATTACAAATAATATATATTCTCCTCTCTTTTGTTTTGTCCAAAGTTTGAATATTGGTAGCATTGATGTTATTATTCGGGGACGAGATTCTCTAAGTCCCCTAGTTTAAAAGTTTCTCTCTTCTTCCATTATTGGTCTGTTCTTTTCAGCTAAACTCCTCTCACATCGTTCATCTCTCTTCTTTTTCTCTCTTGAAGAAAAGAGGAGGAAAGACGAACGATATGAAGAAGTTTAGCTAAAACGAATAGACTTTATGTTATACGTTGCTACAGAAAATTGTTCTTTTCTTTTTAGACCATTTAGAAAGTAAAGAAAAGCACAACCAAAAAGAATGGCTTGAAATATTGCACTTCTTTAAAAGAAAGATTCGCGTTTCTCCGATTTCATTCCAAAACAGAATGGTGGGGACAAGATATAATTCAAACAGCTCGACCGTTAGTCTCACTAGTTAGTTTCCTTCGTGATAATCAGTAGAACGGTGAAGTAAATAGAATAAGCAAATAAGATTCTTGCCAAGATAATTAATTGAAAGATTTAATACGTAGCAATCAACATTGAAACAATTTAGATCTTTTCCATCGTTTTCAACAATTTAGATCGTTCACATAACTTATTTATTATTTTATTTAATTAGCTCGTATAAGTAATGGAATTTTAATCAAAAAATTTGTTTGACGTCAAGATGTGATAATAAGAATCATGTAGAGTACTTGCTGATATCTTCTGTAAAATCTCTGTAAAATGAATTTTTAATATAACGAAACATAACAAAATGGAAAAATATCTGATAGAAAATCGAGAATTGAAGTAAAAATGTCAGCATGTTCATTTTTCTGAATAAAAATCAATGGCTTTTTCTTAAAATATGCTTGCTGTAAATATAATTTATAAATTTTTTATAATTACAATTAGAGCTTATATTTTTAAAAACAACTCTTCGAATTGCAGCAATTTTATATTATTGGCATTGACAAAGTGAAAGGAATCTTAATTCTTGAAATTGCTTGATAACGTAGAATTAAAAAACAACTCCATTACAATTTATAATTGCTGATACGTCTGCGTGATTGTTCTTTTTCGCTGTTATTAAAAACGTAATCATATCAAAGAATTATCAATATTAACACTCCGTGACTTTTTTACGAACTAATATTTTCAATGGAGCAATAAAACTCCAAATGAAGTGTTTAATCATCTCATGATTTTTTAAACAAACGTAAATTAAACGATGCTATGTGTGTTTAGGATCATTGCACCGGATTTACTCAAGAGTGCATCTCAACATGCTACCTAAATTGGAATTAATTGCCGCAGCATGCGAAAATATGGGCATTGGAGTAAATGGCGATTTGCCTTGGCGTTTAAAGTAAGATTTGTTAATAAACCGTATACGCAATTAATTTAGAGAGAATATTTGAACGAACGATTCGTAGGACAGAAATGGCTTACTTCACGCGCATGACGACTAACACAAAGTACAAAAATAAAAGGAACGTCGTACTTATGGGTCGGCGCACGTGGGAGTGCATCCCTGAAAAGTATCGACCTCTGAAGGACCGAATAAATATGGTGTTAACTTCGCAATCATTGTAATTATGGGTGAAATAAAAAATGTGAAAGAAAATTTAATTCTTCAGAAAATAATAGATCATGTATCAATTTTAGGGATTATGGAGATGATGCGATAACGTGTAAGAGTATACCGCATGCGTTTGACGTAATTTCAGGAATGCAGAATCAAGTAGAAAGGGTATGGGTAATAGGCGGAAGTAGCGTGTACAAGGTATTTTGTACGATAAATTAATGCAATACATATACACTTTTAAAAGATCTGTTCTTTTCAGTTGCACAATACTATAAATTCTCTCCATTTCATGTGAAACGTACTTGCAATGAAACGTATCAAGCATTCGCTTGAAAGTTAAAACTCGAAGTTAAAAGAATTTGAAGAACGTACAGAAAGTGCGATTAAAAGAATAGACCTGATAGTGCAACAAAAAAATATTATTTAATATTTAAATATTAACAATACAAATTTAAATTAGATTAACAATTATTGTATAATTTCATAGAGTGCCATGGAATCTCCGCACTTTGGACGATTGTATTTGACGCGTATAAAGAAAAAATTTGAATGTGATACGTTCTTTCCTTCTATCTCAAACGATCTTGTGTTAATCGAGTAAGTATTAATGTTTTTTTGCATTAAATATGTGTCACGTTTCTGCTTTGCTAATAATAATAATTTCAGGGATCCAATGATACCACAAGGTATACAGGAAGAAAAAGGAATTGAATTTGTATATGAAGTGTATGAAAGAAGATAAATAGCAAAACTATTTCCAACCAAATTAAAATTGTAATATAATTTTTGTAAACATTTTTACTGCATCTGTAATAAATAAAAGTGGAATGTCAAAAAAACGTTATTAATATTATCAATTATAATTTTAATACATAAATTATATTACTGATGATATTTTTTGTACAATGTCCTTCAACCATATATTTTAAATACTTTATTCATAGAAAGTAAAGACTTCATAATGAAAATCACGTTTATATATTTAAATGTATAAATACATTAGCCAGGTGGCCACTGCAACTGTCGACCACCAAGAACATGTAGATGCAGATGATACACAGACTGTGCACCATGCTTTCCATCGTTGATGACTAAACGAAATCCATTTATCAAACCTTTTTGCTTTGCAACTTTATGAGCGACATTCATCAGATGACCAAGCAAAGGTTCATCTTCATCTTGAGCTTTGGAGAGTTGCGAAATTGGCTTTCGTGGAATCACCAGAAAGTGTACAGGGGCTTGAGCATTTATATCATCAAATGCAACGCACTGTAAATCAGAAATTATATATTCAATAAATTATTAGCATTTCACATAAAAAACAATACATTATTTAATTAAAATCAAACTACATATCACTAATATAAAAATATATAATATAAAAATTAATTTCCTTTCTATATCTACATTTATTCTAATTCACAAGTTTTGTGATATAACAAAAGTCAACTAATAGTTTCTATGCAACTCAGTAGATTAGAACAAGTGGTTATATAATAATCATATAGATGACAAAATGAATAACAAATCATTTCAGATAATTAGACAGAATTTCTGCTATACATACAAAAATAAACATACATAATAGGTAATGTAAATTCATTTTAATGCTTGCAAACACATTCAGACATTTTATAGCCATACTTTCTATGTTATGGTAAACAATATCGCTCATAAACAATATATAATATTTTCGATAACAAGTCTAATACAAAGCGTTCAAGTGACGCCGGTAAGTCGAATTTAATATATATAATTCAACAAAAAAAATACAATTTTGTGTATTATGTCATAGTTTACCTGGCTGTCCTCGTAAATAAAGTTGCATGGGATTTCTTTACGTAATATTTTCCCAAATATCGTATCACTTTCCGGCGCAGCGGACTGTGCCTTCTCCACCTCGGTCGCCATTTTTCTCAAACTAGCAGAATAGACCGACAGGTTGCCACCTATTGTCAAGTGTTTGTATGCATTTACGACGAGGTTTGATAGCAACCTCATGTCAAAAGTCGGTGACGTCGTCGCAACTACGATAATCTAAAGCGGATATCGTTAGCTGCACGTTCATGCGCGTTTCGATGCTTTATTTATCTCTGAATTCCATTTTATACAGTCCGAAGATCGCGACGTTCGTGTCAGTGCAGCCATGATCGAGATATCGAAGCGCGAATTTTAAATTCGACAATTGCTGGGGTGCGTTCCAAAACTCGACTCTATCAACTCCGAGTATCATTTATCCTTGTTCTTCATCGAATGTTGAACAAGGATAAAAGGTACTCGGAGTTGATAGTCGAGTTTTGGAACGCACCCCTGGAAAGCCAGAAATAAATCACGTATTATAGAATTATTCTCGGAGAGAATGAATTTCTATTAGATTTATTTCATTTCCCTTAGAAATTTACAGAATAATTGAACAATTTCAATTGAAATCCATTCTGAATAATTATTTCAAAGGTATACGTACCAAAATACTTCCCGGGTCAGATCGTTTTCTTGTTTCAACGAATTGCTTATTCATTACGATTGTAAAAAATCAAAAAGTTTGCTGGATACATCGGGAAGATTATTTGTGAAACAGAATCTTGCATGTAAAACTATAAAACTTTTATTTCATAAGACAGTCTTCTCTTAATAATGCGATTATTCTATTTTCGAAGTCTTAATACAATAATGCACTCTAAGAGGCACATAAATATTGTCACTTATTGCTTTATACACGTATTGTCAATATTGTACATTAATAAAAAATACGCTATTAATGATTGCAATGGTTCATGGTACATGTAAAGTATGGCAGTGCGCTTTCTGGTTTTCTCCGGAAGATCTTTAAATCATTCCCGTCTTCCTAATGGGTCGCAAAGGCCCCAGTCTTAGAAAAATAATTCTATTTTAAAAAAATATACATAGTATTATCTTGGATTACATTAATTTCGCATTAAATCAAAGCTAAATTAGCTATGTGTTACAATCGCTTTCGTATCTCTAATAGGATTTGCCATAACTACGCATATCTTATGTAATTTAATGTAAATGTCGTGCATACAGTTAAACTATTAACCACTAAGTAATAACTGCTGTGAAATACAAAAAAAGTTAATCAGAAGTGTAATTCATGACGTTATTATAAAAAGACGATTGACTGAAACATTAGACAGTAAATAAATAACATATCAAAAATAATAATAATCGCTTCACTTTCATATTGTACATTAAGGTACACCTAGGATAAATTAACTTAAATATTATAAACTTATTTTGCAAAGTGTTAGATTGTTATATTTACTGTTAATAACTTAATTACGCAAGGTGTAAAAGTAAGGGATATGTATAATGACTACTATTTAATACGACGCAACAAATTTAAACGCTAATTGAATTTATAGTACTATAGCATTTATACGCTCGATTGTTAATACTCGGATTAGATATTTAATATATAATCAACGTGTTATTAGTAATTCTACATGTGTACTATAATAATTCATACTGTAATACGCTTAAATGTCATATACTTCTATTCCTGAATATAATACGTCAGTCTGAGTTTGCCAGTTTTATATATATATATAAAATCCAGCAATAAGTCTAGATAACTTACGGAACAGTCATTGTTCGTCTTCCTCGAAAAAGTATCGGTGTCTTACGGCTTGAGCTGCAGTTATACGACTATGAGGATTAAACATGAGCATGTTCTTTATTAAATCTAATCCATCTTCATTGAGATCTGGTATTATTAGACTGAGAGGTCTCGGATGTCTGTATGGAAAAGCATTCCAATTGAGCGATACATTCTCCGGCCATTCTTCCTGTGACGGAGTACCCAAAACTCTAAAATAAAAAAACCAAAAAAAAATATATATAGCATAAAGAAATATTAGAAAATACAAAGTTTATTCTGAAAACAAAGAATCAAAAGTATAACTCACTGGAAAATCCTGTCCAGTTGATCACCTTCACTAGTACCTGGGAATAACGGTTCCAATTTGCAAAGTTCTGCTAGTATGCATCCGACAGACCAAACATCTACAGGAGTAGCATAGGAACATCCTAAAAGTACTTCGGGTGCTCGATACCATTGGGTTACAACCTAGACAGAACATCACAAGGTTTTCTTAATTGCGATATTAAATGATACAGGATCATAAAAAGTTGCTCATTTTCTTTGAATCGCATGCACTGACATATTATCACTTATTTAATAATATTCCAAAATTAAAGTTAAAATAAAATTATAAATACATATACTATATGTATAAATAAATAAGCATAAATAAAAATAATGATCAAATAATGATAATAGTAATAACAATATTTGTGATCAAGAAGTGTGTAATTTGTAATACTTAATATCTAACACGTACCACGGAAGTTAATCTCATTTCAAAACCGTACGTCTTAGCCAGACCAAAATCCGCGATCTTGATTCTCCCTTCCCGCGTTACTAGAAGATTTTGCGGCTTCAAGTCCCTATGTATTATTCTATGGCTATGTAGGAACTCCACTCCGCAGAGTATCTCTTTCAACATTTGCCTCACAAGATGCGGTGGGATGCTCGATCGAGGCGAGCTATTCCGATAATGAGCTATGTACGAAGCGAGATCTCTTTCTACGTGTTCGAACACCAACCAAAAGGTGATATCGCGTTCCGGTCTTTCAAATGTATCCTCATCCGATGATACATCAAGATAATCTCCTCCTTGGCAGATATCCAATAATCTGACCTGGATAACAAAGAATAAATATATAAGATATGTACCTATACCTACAATATAGTATTAATTAATGAATAAAAGATTCTGTTTATGATAGTTTATAACGAAATGCAGAATATTGAAGATCAGTATTTATATAATACGTAATTAATAATGGAAATTATATTTTGATTAAAAGATGCTTACAATATGTGGGTGCTCGTATTGCTCGAGCGACTTCAAGGCAGCAATTTCTCTTACTGTGGATGGAGGCAGACCATCCTCCGTCAAATGTATCCTGACTCTCTTAAGCGCTACGGTTTGACCACTATTCTTATCTGTAGCTTTGTACACTGTCCCGTAAGCGCCATTCCCGATAACGGATAAATTCTCGAACGACGCTCGTTCACGCAGCAAGAAACTTCGTGTCGTCGTCTCTTCTAATCCTCTTCCAGAAGGAGCAGAGAGCTCACCCCGATCGCTGTACTTCATTACAATGGATTTTAACGTCTTGAGCTGCCCTTCTCTCGATGTACTCGGGATCGCTTCCGTTGAGGTCAATGCGATATCACTCTCTTGTCTGGGGAGATCCGGATCTGTTTGAGACGATTGTTTAGTCGATTCCGAGGACGTTTCACTGATTAAAACCGATTGCTTCGATGTTGTTGCCTGTTCTGTAACATCTGAGAGTTGTTTGTCTCCTTCCGAAACGATCTCTGTCTGTGCAGATATCTCACTCGCGCTCAATGTCTCGGTACTTTCCACTTCTGTGTGCTTTTCTTCAGACGAATCGGATGAAGTTTCGGATTGCTTGGGCCTTTTGGAGGCAGTCGGCGTCGATAAATCTGGTTCGAGCTTTGTGCTCGAACGTCGTGACCTACCAGCCATCACAACATCTCGACTTCTACCTGAAATAAAATTTGTTTTTGTTATTGACAGAAATAATAAAATTAAGAAGTAAGGAAACAATAATTTCTTGGAAAAGGAAACAAGAAAACTTTGATTTCAATTTTAATTTCTCAAAGGCAGTATTTCTAAAATATCTTTAAAGAATTTTGCGTTAAAATGACAACAAATAAGAACATATTTTTGCACACAAAAATTTAAAGTTATATTTATAAAATTAAAAGTAATAATGCAAATAAATAATGTAGATTAAGAATTTTTAATCGAATTGGAACATTTTCAGAAATACTAAAAAAGTTTACTTTTTTTTAGAATTATATATATACTATATATATATAAATTCTATAGAAAAAATGTAGACTTTCTCGGCACTTCAAAAGTGTATCAATTTGTATTAAAAAATTTGAGAAATTTTTTACAAAATTATAAAATTTCTTAGAAAATTCTAAAATTTACATAAAAATTCTGAAAAATTATATAAACAATTTTGAGAAAAATTTTCATCAAGATTTTCTTCAATGCAAATTATAAATAAATAATAATAATAATAAGCAAAAACTAATAGCTAAATCCGAATCTTACAATTAGTAACGGGTTTTACTTCCGCTCGCTGATGATTATCTACGAGTTCCTCGACAGATTCATATCAAGATCTATGCGAAAAATACGCAAGGGGACGAGATGCAACAGCGCGGATATCGTGGCGCGTGCATGCGTGTTTGTACAGTCGCGCCTACGACACACGGGTTCGCGTCGTGAAGCAGATAGACACGGGACAGGCTCGTTTCTCTCTTTTGCTTGCGTTTTATTAAAATTTCGAGACGGTACCACAAGCAGGACGTGCGATCATGGCAAGCCGTCTGCTACGCGACATCTGCATCGACACCTGCGCTCGTATAATAGCCCGCTATGCCGGCCTCATCGTCGGCTTTCCGGAACATCTTGTGAACGCAAGGGAAGCTCTAAACCCCACCAGGGGTCCTTGCCCTTTGTTTTCTTCGCTCGGGTCCAGCAATAGTAATTGATTGTGAGATAAATATATCAAACCGTGGCACTGTCACCTCAAAAGTGAAACTCCACAAAAGAAGAAAAAATATATGTATATCAGTCCTATCTCATTGGATTATTAAGCCGTTTTTATTACGACTCTCATACGGAAAAAATGATTTTGCTGAAAATCTAAAAATTTAGGTAAATACAGATCTGAAAATAAATTTTATTGGACTATCAAAATAATTATGTAGAACACTCAAGTCGATAAAAATGTCAAAACTGTTTGTATTGCTCATCACGTTTCAATTTCTTACGTAATTATTTTAATAGTCCAACAAAATTATTTTCAAATATAGCTAAATTTTTAGATACTTCAGCAAAACTGTCCTTTCCATACAGAAGCTTGCAGCAATATTGCTACAACGTTGCAATGTTATTACAATATTACTGGAACTTTGCAATGTTGTTGCAATATTGCTGGAATGATCTGTACTGTATGGGTCATTTCCGACAACATCTAATATGGCAAGCTATTTTTTTTAATTCGAAATTCACAATAGATCTCGATCGCAAGCTATGTAAACTGCAAACTATTGATTATAAATGATGCGTGTCTCTTGATACGGATGCCTGAATTTTGTTGCTGCCATACGGAAGTGTGATGATGAGTTAAATAAAAGAGGAAGCTGGAGACATTAGGCCAAAGAGATATGAAATTACGATAGAAAAGATCCGTATGGCATAATTCAAATGATTTAAATAGCCGGATGCCGAAAAAAGGCACCCGCTTTCATTCAGAGGAAATAATAAACTATACTGTTATCACTTCGTAATTTCTTTGTGGCACATGGCCGCCGTTAGATGTTAGTTGTGGGAAAAGTCAACAGGGTACAGATAATCCAACGTCATTTGATTTAATATCAAAATACATTCTTTTATGTTACGAGGAAAAATCCTTAAACTTATACGTTTAGTCAAATAATGATCGTATTAATAAAATATTTTCTGTATTATGTTAACAACAGACGTAACGTCGAATATTGGTTTACGAAAAGAATGATTATGCTGAAGTATTTAAAAAAGTATTTAAAAATTTAGACAGTACAAATGTGAAAATAATTTTGTTGGACTATCAAAATAATTATGTAGGACCAAAAAAAAACTCTAGTTGTTAGAATATCAAAACTTCTTACAGCATTGCTCGTCATGAGTTTCCTAATAATTATTTTGATGGTCTAACAAAATTATTTTCAGATCTGTATCTGTACTTAAATTTTTAGATACTTTAGTAAAATCGTTTTTTCCGTATACTTTCGGAGGAGAACGCTCCGCAAACGGATGTACTCTCACGGCTTTGATTAAATTCTTCTATCAACTTCCTCTTACGATAAGAAATTCTAACTAGAAAAGCCGAGCGGAAGGAAGGAAGAAGTGAATGAACGAAGGAACGAAACTGACTTTTATATCGCGAGAAATTTTTTTGTTTGCAATGTCTGACATCGAGAAAAAAGAACAAAACGGGATGCTCGTAGGCGTAAATTTTAAAGGAGTGCATTGTGGAAAAATTCCGAGTGAGATGTGTCGCAAAATGAAAGAAACGAAAGAGAAAAAAAGGGAAATATATGGGCGATTCAGGGAACTGGAGAAAAACATGTCCTCGTTCTGGAGGCGATTAACAACTTTGTATGTACAGAACGCGTTTCCATACGGCATTATCTCGAGACCACCTTCCTGGAAGAGGCAGATGTTTCTATACGGTTTCGTTAGACACCAAGAAGAAGAAACAGTGAAGTCGATGAAGCGTAGTTTAGCAACATTTAAGAAAAAAAAACACATTTCAAGAAAATAGAGGCATATTACTTAGTCTGTTTTTATAATTACTTTTCGTTCATTTCTAATAAAAATAAACGAAAAGTAATTATAAAACAGACTAACAAGGAAAGGGACGCAACTGTCCCCCTCCGATTTTAATAAGCTTTTAATATGCTTTTAAAACTATAAAAAATTTTTTTTAATTATTTATTTGTAAGAATTATTTATTTATAAAGAAAAAAATTTTTTTTCTTTATAATTATATTTCTAAAGTACTCTTAATGCCATTCAATTTTCATTATGAAAATTTTTTTCTATCTTTTACAGTTCTGGCGATATTCGCTTCGAAAGAGAAAAACCGATTTTCTTTTAAAGGGAACTTTCGCCCTCTAAAAGTGCGTATGGACACGTATAAAAAAATACGTGTCGCGCTTATTTTTGTCTGGAGAATAACATATTAAAAGCTCATTAAAATTGGAGGGAGACAGTTGCGTCCCTTTCCTTGTAAGTAATATGCCTCCATCTTCTTGAATGTGTAGGTATTTTTTCTTAAATATTACGAAACTACGCTTTCTATTAGTAGATGCAATGGTGCGCCAACAACTTTTTTCGCTGGTAATATAATATAATACACTTGTAAATATATGTCTGCACATTCTGCATATTTTGGAACACATAGAGGAGACTGAAGGAAATATTACTCATTTTATCACCATGTATTTTTTTATTAATTCAAATAGATAATGGTAATCGTACAAAGAATATGCGTTCTGTTTCTCTCACAAAGTCTCTAAAATTATTAAGAACACGATTGTTAAGAACGTTCGGTATTTTACGTTTTCACTGCAAAGAATTTACAACACAAAATCACAATATTTATTGCTGCAACAATTTTCACATAATTTTCAATAAATCCATCATGGTTTCCAAAAGTTGCCGTTTATGTTGTAAAATATTGTATACCAGTAAAAATTCGCAACTAATATTCTTTGGGTATTTTTAGTTGAATAATAGACATCTTTTCCCTTCTTTTCGAGAGGTCTTCCTTTTATTGTCTTTAAATTCTTTTCTCATGCAACCCTTGGTAAAATATAATGTTCTTCTATATATGTATTGTTACATCAAGTGTCACGTAAAAAGGACGAAAATAGCCCAACAAAGTTGACGTAGTAGATAAGCGGTTGGGACGCGGGAAAACTGATAACTTGAGAAGTCTTCGTGCTAGATAAACAACCGTACGCGAAAGAGGATGTCCAATGGAGTACAAAAAGATGTTTAACTGATTCTTGACTTAACCGTCTAAACCGAGACGCACTGACATATAGACTCGAGACTACGATATGTGAAATCGCGCAATGCTTGTTTTATTGTTAGAAAAACATGACTTCCGCTGGCAAATTAGATAACGTAAGAACTTTCGAACGTCAGAATGTTGAGTTACTCAATCTTCTTATCATATTACTCGACAAAGTACACTCGATGGTACACACGCGCGCGGACTCAGCAGAATTTCCGTATAGATAAATAAAAAATTGAAAAAAAGATGCAAAAGCAGGCAACGTTCAGATTTATATACGACAACGTTTTATTTTAAATTTCAGAATAAAACATTAACATTTAAATACTGCGAGATAGACATTAAAAGAAAGAAAATAATAAACAACGTAATTAAAAAAAAAGGAAGAAAACAAGGATATTAAAAAATTGCGTTTATTAGAAAAGTGTCGCTTAAACTTCTTTAGTCTCTCGTCCTAATTTTTGTATATTTCGAGAAAAAGATAAAGTGAACACATGCTATTAATGATGTTCTCAGTAAATTATAGCGTCGGGTTACCCCATAGGAAAATCATTTCTTATTATTTAGAGTATCATCAAAATTTTACGTCGCACGATTGCCTGCGGCTTTCGTAAAGTTACACGTGTCACGATTGTTTACGCACTACGTAGTGCGTGGCGTAAATAGCATAACGCGTAAATCATGCGTCGCCTCAATTGCAATATAATTGAAGGCATATTTACGGCTTGTTGTTTGCAAAGTCGAGCATCAACGCACGTAGATCTACGTTGGATGAATGAACGATTATATGTGATTAAAGTACTGTGCGTCATTAATTCATCATGACCGGATAGGTGGAGTAATTAAACTCGAAACCTCTCTTACAATTAGATCTCGACAAATACCGCGTTTTATTGAAAT